GTCGTCAGACATAACCTAGATTAAGTGGAAATAACATAATTATGTTATTTCCACTCATTAGTATCAACAGTTAATACATGATGGGGATCTGCATTTTATTGTTTAAACAACTTATTACAAACAAAAAATGCAATTCGTTCCATATTAGTTGAAGACAATATAAATATTGATTATAATATTAAATTTCTTATTATGGATAATCAGTTCTGGCAAGATCTTAAAAATCTTTGCGATTTTTTAGAAGCTTTTGTTTGTTTAATTAATGAGCTTGAAGGAGATACATCACTTTTATCAATTGTATTTTTAAAATCATAACAATTAGAAACATCTATACACAATAATACTTGTGCTCCAAATATACTTGTTATCCGAAACAAAACCTACCCGAAACTAGTTTCAGGCCAAAACTATAAAATATATAAATTAAATATGTAATTAATTTTTAAAAATTAATTAAATTATTAGTAAAACTATTAGTTAATTAAACTTATTAATTTATAGTTAAAATTTCAAATAATTATAATTATATTGAATATTTTATTATATATTTAAAATATGCTTTAATATAATTTATATTATATATAAATTAAAATAAAAAAACCTTAATAATTAAAGAAAAAATCTTAATTTACAATATAATATAAACTAAATATAAATAAAATATAGATAAAAAATCAATAGTTTAAATCTTTATATTGAAATTTAAAAATAAAAATTTATAAATATAAAAATTTAAATAATAAAAAATAAAAATTCAAATAAAAAAAATAAAATTTTTAAATAAAAATTATTAAAATATATCAAAATCTTCAAAATATTTTTGTGCTAATTCACTTGGATTATAATTTTCTTCACTTTCAAGATCTTGAATAAAACTATTTAATTCATTTTCATTATCTAAATTTTCTATATTTTGAAGAGTTTCATCTAAATTTTGAAAAGCTATATTATCTAATTCAATAATATGTAATAAATTTAAACCTTCCCATGATGTTCTAATTTCTTCATCAAATCATTTTGTTCTAAATCAGATTCAATTTCAATATCATAAATCAATACTGTATCAGTATCAAATAATTAAAATTTCCAGACAATTAAATTGTTACTCATAATTCTACATTACAATGTTTTCAGATTCTAACATTTCATAGTTATAAAGAATAATAAAATAATATACAATAACAATCTTCTCTGGATCGCTCACTAATATTTAAACTCCTACAGCCTCTCATAGTACTTGTGATTATTACTCATCAAATTGATATTGAAAGTGAAATTTATAAAGCTCACCATTCCAG